ACTCTGTGGTCCAGTGACACTAGCCTCCTTGCTGTTCCTCAAACATAAAACTCAGTCTCCCAACTCTACACATTTTCACTGTCTGCTTGCCATGTCTGGAATGCTCTCCCTCCTTATATCCACTTCCTGGCTTCCCTGGTTTCCCTGGATTCTTCAGGTCCCAGCTAAAATCTATCTTCTACAGGAAGCCTTTCCCAGTTTCTCTTAACTCTAGAGCCTTCCCTCTGTTGATTATCTCTAATTTATCCTGTATATAAGTTGTTTGTACATTCTTGTTCGCATCTGTTCTTTCCCATTAGGATGAACTCAAGAACAAGGACTGTCTTCTGGTTGCTTTGTATCCCCAGCACTCAGCACAGTGTCTAGCACATAGTAGACACCTAATAAATGTTTATTGACTGACTGCTAGAGGCAGTTTTTCATTGGGAGCTCCCTTTACCAATTAAATCACAGTTTTTAAAAAATAAACCTTGAAATAAGCTGGGTTGAGACTTTGCCAAAAGTTAATATTTTCTTCCATCTCTATTTGCTTCTACCCTTGGGTATAAGGGAAATGTGACTTTGGAGTTCTCAGAAACCCTTCTAGACTTTGTAGGACCATAAGATTCTTCATGGGTGTCTGGAGATCTTTGACCTCAAGGTGGTCTGTAGGCTGATGTCCTGGTAAATTAATGTTAGCAGTGTGGTGAATTCTAGAATTGTTTTCTAGCTTGAGTTTATCATTTATTGACAATACTAGCAATATTTTGATGGCTCCCTCATGTCATTCATGGATGAATCAATCATGCAGATTATAGCCTTTCTGCCCCTTCTCAATTTGTAGGACCCTTGTCCATGTTTTCCCAAAATTCCTCCATAGAAGATCTACCTAGTTTACTGTATCCTCATTTACTGATGAGATTTCCTAAAAGCCAGGCATTCTTTCATGGGGCCATTGGTTACATGGCTTATAATGATTTTTAGTTTTGGGTCAATAGCAAATAGGAATATATAGATAGGGAACCCATGGGGATTGATAAGGAATTATACCCTTCTCAAGTGGCCTTTGAACTGAAAAGTCAAATAGTCAACTATCTGCTTGACAGTATTAATTAACTTTGGGATGGATGGAACCCTAAGGCACCCTCAAGGAAAGGAAAATAGATGAAAAATGCTATCTTAGATAATGATTCACCTTTAGACATTCTTTTAAGACTGCCAAAGCACTTTTTCAGAACAGTATTATAAAGTAGATAGTCCAAGTGTTGCCCTCATTTCACGTGTGAGGAAATTGAGGCTCAGAGTTGTAAAGTGACTTGCTCATAGGCGTGAGGCTAATCATATTCAGAACTTCTGACTTTAAGGCCAGGGCTCTTTTCCCCACCCCAGCGTTCTGCCTCTGAACATGACCTGCACGCACCTTATGTTTGCTCCTCCTGTGCTGAACTGTGTGAATGGAAAGGGGGAGCTTGTGGCACTTCATTGACTCACAAATCTCACAACAGAGAAGGTAAAAAGATAGAGTGAGTTTATGAGTCTAGTTATTCCCAAATAATTTCATACAACATATGTTACCCTAAAGGGAAAGGGGACTGGGGACCAATCATGGGTTGTGTTTGCTTGTTTCTGTAACTACAATGTGGCCATCCCTCACCAGGGCCCCACTGACATGGCTATATGGGCAACAATATTAGCTGACCATTGAAATTCATCTAAGGCCCATTGGTTCTTCTCCATGGGCTTATTACTATTTAGGGAATGCACTGTGTTGTGGCAAAAAGAACTTGGGATTAGAAGACATGAGTCCATCAGGTAGGTGGCACAGTTGACAGAGTGCTGGCTGGGCATGGAGTTAAGAAGACAAGTTCAAATCCTGCCTCAGTCCCTTATTGACTATGTGAGCCTACACAAGTTACTGTGACTTCCCTGGGCCTCCGTAAGAGGTCAGTGGAGTAAAGAAGTTGAAGTCAATGGCCTCGGAGTTCCCTTCTCACTCCAATCCTGAGTCCTGACTGGTGCTCACTGGTTATTGCTGTTGTTGTTCAATCATTCAGTTGTGTCTGACTTTACATGACCCTGTGGACCATACTGTCCATAGGGTTTTCTTGGCAAAGAGACTGGAGTAGTTTGCCATTTCCTTCTCCAGTGGATTAAGGCAAACAGGTTAAGTGACTTACCCAAGATCACATATCTAGTAAATGTCTGCATCTAGATTTGAACTCGGATCTTCCAGGCCTGGCATTCTATCCATTGAGCTGTCTAGCTGTCCTTAATGCTCAGTAGCTGTGTGGTATTAAGGAAATTATTTAATGTCTTAGGACATCAGTTTTCCCATCAATGGGAGTGGAGGCAGGGGTAGTACCAATACTTTCACTATTTACCTGCTAAGGTTATAGTAAGAATCAAATGAAATATGATATGTGAAAGTATTTTGTGTAAAGCAACCATATAAACCTATGCTAGCATTCCTTCTCTAAAGCCTTTGGCCTCCCAGTTAAGACTTCTTGGGAATATCTAGTTTATAGTCATCCTAATTTGGCTTCCTGTCAATAAATTTCTTTTCATGCCTCAGTGGGAAAAGACTGTGTCATAGCAGTCCCAGAGCCCATTCCCCATGGGGAATAGCAAGGCAGTATAGGTAGGAGCCACAGAATGTGTGTGGACCCAGGTGTAACAAAGAGAGATGCAGTCCCAGGAGAAGGGAAACTGGTTGAAACAGTGATGGGATGAATGGGACTGTTCTATGTAAAGGAATGGCTTTCCTTCTATAGGAGGAAGAGAAAATATGTTGGTTTGCTAATACTAAAAATAGCCACCTAAAACCCTTTGGGTCCCTGGATTTTGGAATGAAAAAGCCACAACTCTAGGGCAAGACTTCACAAAGAGGGTACATTTAATTAGATGAAAAGATTGAGGCATAGAATATTGAAATAGTTGGTATATAATGGTATTGTGAATGTGTGTATTGGTGGAGTGGGGGGAGAAGAGATAGGAAGAATAGAGAACTCAGAAATTCCAGAACAGGAAGAAGAAAAGGAGGATGAGACAGAAGATGATGTAGTGGTGGAGAAATAGGAACAAGAAGAGAAAGAGTAGGAGAAAGTGGGGATGTTGAAGAAGGCAGAAGATGAGGGGGTGGCAAATAAGAAAGAGGAGGAAGAGATGAAGATGAGGAGAAAGAAGAGGAAAGGGGATAGGGCTCCTTGATGTGCCCATACATCACCAATGAACAGTTATAGCACATCCATGTGAGGGTTAAACACAGCACAATAAATCAGCTGACAACCAAAGAGTCCAGATGGTAACTTAAAATAAATTTTAAAAAACAAACACTTTATTATCACTCATTGTTGAAAATACAGTACCATGTTTGTGAGTGTCACTTGGTTCCTCCACACCCCCTATTGATGGGAATCAGACTTTTGTCTCCCTAACTTTCACTTGCCCCACTTCCTTTCTTTTTTTGTGAGGCAGTGGAGTGAAGTGACTTGCCAAGTGTCCTCCACTTTCTTTCTTAGGCTATTCTGCACTGACACCCTAGTATACCTTCAGACTCCAAGAAACTGCATCACCAGTTTCATAGCTTGCAAGAAGCTGGCAAGGGCTCTGTAGAATCTGGAGAGATCAGGACTTTGATTTTCATTCTCCATCTCTAATCTAGTACAGGCAATTGAGATCAGAGATCCTTAGGTTTGTAGAATACTTGCTTGCCAGAAATAAGGACTCCCCACCCACTGATTCTTCCCGATCTGGCTTGTTAAAAAAAAAATCTCCCTGTTAGTGCTAACTTACTATTTATCCTCCCCTTCAAGGTTTACTACAGGTTGTGCTAGAACTAAAGGGTCAAATGACCTAATCTTTGACACTAATTCATCCAGCTCCTCTTGAATACTTCCAAAGATGGAGAAGCTACTATACCATAAGGCAGCCCATTTCATTGTTGGTAAAATCTAAGAATTCAAAAGGTCTTTGTTACAGTGAGCCAAAATGAGATTTAGAATAATGTGCAGTAGATTTGTAGTCAGAAAATCTAGTTTTGATTTCTGGCTCTGCCACATCCTTGGATTACTTTGAGCAAGTTTTGTCACTTCTTTGGACTTGTTTCCTCCTCTATGACATGATGGGGTTGAACTATACAACCTCTGAGAACCCTTCCAGCTCTGGACTCCTATTTGCATGTGATCCTTTATACATGTACTGTCAGGTTTCTTTGATAAGTGTCCCTCTCTAACAATAAACTAACTCTCATTCATCAAACACGCTTTTTGCTTTAACCTCAGGCCCTTTCATTCCCGAACCCAACACACTGCAGGCCATGCTGCTGACCCAACACACACAGTCCCTAAACAATCTCATGCACCTTTCTAAGTTATCTTCACTTCTCCTTTTTATCTTTTTGACTACTGTACTTGTCTTCCTGGCTGCCAACCAAGTAAGAAGAGCTGGAAAGGAACCAGGTGGATGAGGAGCAATTGGCTTTAAAATCAAACTGATCACTAGACGCTGAGCTATGGTGAGCAGCAGAGACAGGGTGGGGGGGACAGGACAGCTGGTGGACTGGGAAGTAAAAATACAAGGCCATCTGCTGTCACCTTGTTGTGTTATTATGAAAAGGAGTAACTGAATTGGTCCTTCTTCCTTTTTGCTCTCATACCTTGGAGGAGAGAGAGCGTGGAAGGAGTATCCCAGTCTGGATTAGGAATCAAGAGATCTGGGTTCTAGTACCAGTTTGCCACTGACTAATGGTATGGGAAATCTCTGGGGCTCTATTTCCTACAAAATGAAGGAGTTGGGTCACATGGTCTCTAAGATCTTTTCCCAAATTAATATTGTTGAGGCGATGTGGAGAAGTATAAAAGGGCTGGGCTTGAAGTCAAGAAAAATCTGGGGTCAAATCCCACCATCTTTACCATGCAACTGTGCAAAGTCACTTAAGTTTGCTGAGCCTCAATTTCCCTGTCTGTGAAATTGGGATAATAATACCTGTAGTACCTACCTCATAGTGTTACTGTGAGGTTCAAGTGAGATAAATAGATGCAAAGTGCTTTACAAACTTTAACTCGCTATATTAATGTAAGTTATTATTATTATTCTAAAATTCTCTTAGTCTCTCCTGTAGTTGGCAGGATGGGGACTAGCAACTGCTTGGGTGCCTCTCATATATTTTATTTTTAAACATTTTTTATTGCCTTCAAGGTCATTCTGAGATTTGCACCAGCCTCAGCAATCCATCATTCCCCAACCTTACCCTCATCAGGGTATTGGAGGAAGACTACACAGAAGGGAGGATTCCTAACTAATCATGACATCATATATAATTTTTATGAGTGGAGACAGAAGGATTGGGAAATTAGGGGTGAGGAGAGAAGAGAGGATGTAAGAGAAAGTTCTGAGAGCAGTAGGAGTTGGTCCTAAGGGAATTCATGGTCATCTCATCAGTTTGCTTTCCTAGTGACATGAATTTCAGAATTCTGGGCTATTGGATTTCCTCTCTGCTGAGTGGCAGTTGGTCCTCTATTTAATACTACCTATTTACTTGATTGTAGGTTGAGATGCTTAGAGTTGACTTGACCTTTCCCTACTGCTGAGTATTCTAGTGGATCATGAGTAGAAATGAGAAAATATGCTTGTGTTCAGGCAGGGATAGAGATAAAGAAAAGAAAGTGTGTGAGAGAGAGCAAGCCAGGTAGGGCAGGACTGTTATTTGCCCTTATGTCGAGGGTATTCACTGCCCACATTGAGCATAGGGATCAGAAGGCCCAGGAGCCATCTCTTTCCGAAGACCTCCTGCAGATTCTTCCTCCAGGGTCGGGCACGAACCACAATCCCCTTCTGCATCTGGTGTCGGGTCTGTCCCCTGAGCACCAACAGAAGTTGATGGCAGCAGAAGCCAGCACAAGCCAGTCCAATCCCAAACCAGAGGTATAGCATGAGGATGACGAACATTTCAGAACCAAGGACAGCTCCTGGTAGGGGGTGGGGAGCAGTAAGGAGGGGGGGGGGGGTGGAAAAAAGAGAGAGAGAACATTTTATACACCCAGACCACGTACAGAAACATTACCCATTCATGCATTTCCTCCAGGAGATTAATGAGACCGAAGCTACATTTTGAAGCAACTGCAGACAGAGCTGCAGCAGAGGGAGAAAAGAAATGAACTAACTGCCCTAACTTTTTTTTTTCCTGTGCTGCTGCTGTTTATCAGGGTCACAGGAAGGGAGGGCCAGGAGATGAATGTGAGAGAGAATAGAAACAGTGGTTTATAAAGGTAAGAGATCCATTATGCTTTTCATTTAGGGAACATGAAAAAGAACACTTGGTATTTCTATGGAGTTGTATCATTACTTCCCTCCTTTCTATTTCTCAGCTGGGAACAAGAAGAAGGAAATTTTTATATCAGGGCAGAGGAACAAAATTATGGCATTAAAGGACAAAACAGGAAGCCTACCACTAGATGGTTGTCAATTTATAAGGTAGATGAGTTAACTGGGACAGAATAATGACTCCAGACTGTGATCTAGTGGAAAGAGAAATAGTTTCAGACCCAGAAGATCTGGTTTCAAATCCTACCTCTACTATTTACTAGCTTAAACAAATCACTTCACCTCTTTGTCTCTCAGTTTCCTCATTTTGTCAAACAAGACAGTTTGGTCAAGGGCATCTTTAAGGCTTTTCAATTCTACCAACAGAATTGTGATGGAATTACCAAGAATAAGTTACAGGATTGGATCTAAGAATACTCACTTTAGGAGTGATTAAAAGTCATTAAAGAAATGACAGCAGGGTGAACAGAGCACTCATCTTAGACTCTTTAAACTGAATGGCTCCCAAAACTATCTAGTATATCTTCCTGCCTATAAATAAGACCATACTTAAACTGACCCAGATAGGTCATTGTCTATTCTATCCCATTCTTCAGTTTTTCTATGAAAGAGTAATCTAAACTTTTCTGTGTCAGCTTCCCATAACCAGGAAGTTCTTCCTTAGCTCTCACCTCAATATGTTTTTCTGTATCCCAATTAACTCATGAAGTAGGAAATTTCCTGAAGATATGAACCTTTAGGAACTGGCCGAGGTCCACATTTAACTCAAACTAAAGAAGTTTGGGCCAAACCAACCTCAACTGAAACTGACTCACGTGAGCATGTTATATCAGCTTGGCTGTTTTTTGAGTTCAAGAGGGACATCAAAGCAATTTTCAAACAACTCAGGTTGAGAGGGAAACTAGCCAGTTTTTAGCTCTAGTTCCTCTTTCAATTCTCCCTAATCGTGGTCACACATTCATTTTACAGCTGTGAAAAGCATGTCTGAAGGAAATGAAGTACAGTGGCTTAGGTTAAATTCTAAAGCCCCAAACATAATTGTCCCTACTCTTCCCTGCTCTTCTGGGATCCAATGGGCTATTCAGGTATACCTATGTCCTTTGAATTACTGTCTATCCTTTAAGGCCCAATTCAATTGCCATCTCCTTCATGATGGCAAAATGGTGCAGTGGATGGAGTATTAATTTGGAGTCAGAAGACCTTTATTCAAATCTAGTCTCTACCATTCATTGTTTGTGTGACTCTAGGTAACTTAACCTGTCTAGGCCTTCATTTTGTCCTCTGCAACATGATCAGCTTGACTAGATGATTTCAAAAGTCCCTATATTCTTAATAGAAAACTCTATATCCCTAATTTTTCCTTATCCCTCCATTGGTAATGACCTTTCCCCCTTTAGATTTTATATGCATTGTATTTGTAGCTTTCATTTATTATCTTTCATTTATTATTTAGTATTATAGTTATTTTGAATGTGTCATGCCCTGCTACTGAACCATACATTTCCCACTTCATAAGAGTTGGGAACACATCCTGTCTGAATTTTGTATCTCTACCAGTGCCTTAAAACAGTTCTGTCCGCTGTAGGTATTTAATAAATATTTCTTGAATTGAGTTACTCTAAGTCCACCCAAATAGTTAATGTAATGGCCATAAGAATAGAGCCCATGAGCTGTCATTTATTTCCTTCTTTCTCTCTATGAGATAATACTGTCTCCTGAAATGATTTTAAGGTGATAGCCATCAGGAGCCTTATAATCTATTCTTGGCTTTGAATTCCAAATTCCATTCTGTAATTCCAGTTATGTCCCTTTTCCCTCTCCTTGCTGGTGGACGTATCCCTTAGCCCCATAGACTTCAGTTCACTCATTACTTTAGGTCTTGCCTAGATCTTGCCTTTTTAAATCTAGGTAAGGCCTGTTGAGAAGGGTGTTATCTGGCCAGGCAAGGAAGAAGCAGGAGTGGGTTAGGACTTCCTCATTAGCATTTTTATCTCACTCAAATCCCCGGGGGTGTTGGTGACTGTCTTTTTGTGCAAAGTCAGAGATAAATAAATAAGTCCAGATGCCCAGGAGGCTGAGACTTCAGTCCAGCTGGCATTTCAAAGAATCACCTTCTGTCAGCATGGGATGGGGAGGGGAGAAAGGACCAGGATAATTTTGGTTTTTTTAAGCCATCCCTCTGACCCATTTCTTCTGCTGTCAGTTCTGGTTATTATTGGTTGTCCACAGGCCAAGAAAGAAACAAGTACCTTAAGGATCCCCCACAGCATCGCTTCAGTCAGGGCTCAGGGAAAGTGGACTGGAAAGAGTTGCCCTTATGGGGTGGGAAAGATGGGGAGGGAAAATGTCTCAGCAATTCGAGTAGACCCACATACATAGTCTGACTTTGTCTTTTCTGGCTGTTCAGTGAGAGATCCAGGGACAAGCCATGACCAAACAGAACTATTTACCACAGGATTTTATCTAGGGATACAGCCTAGTGATAATTCAAGCACAGAATAGAGAGGATGTTATTGTCTCTACCCCTAGGATGCAGTGTCTACAAGCTGGGGCCTGTTTTCTTTCTAGGTGTTTGAGCTGTCTAGACCCATTGCCTCTGCTCCTTCTAATGTTTAATTATAACACTGGATATTTCATAGAAACATAAAATCTTAAGAGTTAGACATTTGAATTCAACTACCCAGCCAAAGCAGATTTTTCCTCTAATAATCCCTGGCAGAGGATACTCATCCAGACCTGGCTTACACCTTTCCAGTGACAGGAAGCTCATTACCTCCAAAATAGTCTGTTTCATTTTGGACTGCTTTAAATGTTAGAAAATTCTCTGGCACCTTTCTTCTGAAGAGCTCTAGGCACTCTATCTTATTTATCATAGCTTGCCAGGAAAAGGTCAGGTTATTTCATTCCCATTGTACAGAAATGAGAAATCTGAGGTCAAAAGAGATGAAGTAAATTTGCTCTCTCAGTCACACAGCAAATTAATGGAAGGACTTTAAGCTCCTTAGGATCACAGATTTAGAGTTCTACTAGTTTCACCTCTTTATTTTGTAGAGGAAGCAACCCAAGGCGATAGGGGTCACTTAAATTGCCCAGGAGCATGTTAGTTGAGAGTGGCAGAGTCAGGATTCAAACCCAGGTCCTCGGATTCCAAATCTAATGCTCTCTCTACTATGCCAAACTGTGGAAATGTTGACTGAGATTTTGACTTTTATATCTAACAAGATGGCATACCCACTCAGCAAAGCTGCTTGTCTGCTTTTTACAAAGGGACAATAACCAGGAGCCACTTTTGATACAGAAGAATCCTCTCCTTTCCTAGGACACATGTCACTTGCAATTTTATTGGCTGTAGATTACATGCATCTGAAATACCAGATCATAAGGCCAGAGGCATTGTTATTTATTTTAAACAACTTGAACCAGTTCTGTATTTTCTAGACTTTCTCAGAGGCTGGGGGCAGGTGAGTGGGAATGGTTGTGGCTTCAAATCTTTGGACTGGAAGATACGGGAGGAGAAAGAAATGACTGAAGGGACAGGAAGGAGGTGATAATGGACAACCTGAGTAGAAGTTATGTGCCTCAGTGAGTTGGACAGGGGGTATGGGTGTGGAAGATAGGAAGACAACTTTAGGAAGGTCTGGAAAGAGATAAAGGAGTGGTAGTAAGAGAGGGAAGGAAGGATGAGGTAGTACAGTAGTACTTAGCATCAGAAATTGCTCCCCTAGGTTGCACCTATATGACCTTTTGGGTATTAAACCTTTGGGGTATTTAACCATTTAACCTCTTGAACAATTTCTTTATTTATAAAATAGATATTATAATTTCATAAAGAAAATAGAGATAATAATAAAGCAGCTAAGTGGAGCGATGGATAGAGCACCAGGCCTGGAGCCAGGAAGACCCAAATTCAAATCCCAACACAGACACTTACTAGCTTTGTGATCCTGGGCAAGTCACTTAACCCCATTTGCCTCAGTTTCCTGATCTGTAAAATGAGCTGGAGAAGGAAATGGCAAACAACCCTGGTATCTTTGCCAAGAAACCCCCAAATGGGGCCACGAAGAGTTAGACATGACTGAAATGACTGGACAGCAACAAAATTATCTATACCCTAATAATGTTGTGAGTAAAGTGCTTTGTTAACTATAAAGTGTCATATAGATGTTCTTAGGATAAGAGAGGGAGCAAAAAGACAAAAAGCTTTTGTCCATTCTCCATGGATGGAGTGGAGTCAGGGAATTGAGCAGACAATAGGCTCATTCCTAATTCATCTGTAGGTGAAAGAGCTTTGCATTGGTCACCAGGTCACTTTCTAGGTGTCCACAACTATGCTTAGAATTCTTCTATCAACTTAAAATAAAAGGCTTCTTTTTATCCCCCTTCTCCTCCCAGTCTGAGTAAATTTTCAATAGACTTCAGGCTACACTCTGGAGTGGTTCCCAGACTTGTTCTTATCATTAATACAGACATTTCAGGATTCTTTCTTTATAATAGTCTATTTTAAATTATTAAACAACTTTGGAAAGAAAGTTTAATAGCAGCTCCATGACTTTCTATACTCCATCCCATCCCATCTGCCCCAGGTCATACCCTCGGCAGAACTCACTTTCACTCCCACCCCACCCCTGATCTACCTATTTTGTTAGCAGCCACACTGTGTCAGATCACTGATACAATGATACTTCCCTTGACCCCCTTTTGCTTCTGCTTCAGAAACATTGAGGCTCTGAGTTCTAGAACTAACCTAGTATTGGCTAAAAGGCACCAGACTTGGAGTCAAAAGACTCTTCCTCAAATCCTAGTTCTGACACTTATTCGATTCATGAGTATGGGCAAATCATTTAAACTCCCTTAGTCTTAATTTTCTCATCTGTAAAATGGGGATGGTATCTTTATAAATGACTTCACAGCACAGCAGTGATGAAAGTGTTTTGTAGATCTGAGAGTGCTACATAATGAGTTATTCCTGTCATCCTAATACTTGTTTGCCAACTATCTCCTGGTACACTAAAAATTTCTTTGGGATTCAGCTAAATGTCAGCTAACCAAGATTAGTGATTCCCTATGTAGTTACTAGCAAGGAATAAATGGGTCTTTGCCCCAAGATTCTGACACCTGCAGGGGCATACTTTCTTCTGGAGTTGATATGCTATCCCTCCACCACTGTTACCAGCAATATGGGGTGCAACCATCCCCAGCCAATACCCCGAGTGTCCTGTCACTGTGGTGTGTTTCTGTTGGTGTTACCAAGACAAGGGTAGCCCCACAGGAACAGAATTACACTCTCTTGGCGATGGGCCACCCTCTGTACCCCCATGAAATTATATTCTGTGCCAGCACTCCTCCATTCCTAGCCACCAACTCAACCAAATTTGTTCTAATGAAATTATGCTCTGGTAATTCCATTGCCTGGAAAGATCTATGCTGCAGAAAACTGTATCAACATACTATGACAGTGAATAGAGCACCAGCCCTAAAGTCAGGAAGACCTAAGTTCAAATCCGGCCTCAGACCAAACACTTGACACTTACTAGCTCTGTGACCCTGGGCAAGTCACTTAACCCCAATTGCCTAAAAAAAAAAAAACCATGACCAAAATGATACCTTGTGAGGAGCAGAGTGCTTTTAAAATTTTCCGTTTGTGTCTACACACCTCCTACCCCTCAATCTAGCTCCTCCCCACATGATTGTCATTCCAAGAAACAAGTGGGGCCCAAAATGTCATTCTCTGTCTTCCTTTGATTTATTCTTATAGAAGGGAGGGAGAGGGATGGAATGGGGTAATGGTATGGAGTTTGTTACCAATCTCCCTTGCAGAATCAACTAAAGAAGTATGTATGAATATATTTCAAACTGTACCTTATAGGTGGTATTTCTAGAGATAAAATTAGTTGAATACTCTGCATGGGGAAGCCTATGGACAGAGGGCTGGCTCTGCTCTCCTATGCCTCTGGATTCACAGGTAGTCATCAGTATGTATGCTAGAGGAGCTACCAGATATGCCATTCAGTGGAGCTAAATTCTTTCATAGTGATAAAGACTTCCTTTCTTCCTCTTAATCTACTTTCATATCTAAAGTGCATATGCCCTTATCCCTTTCACCCAGCCTGGACTGGGGTGGGGAGAAGTGAGGATTTAGGATTGGATAAACCTTTTCCAGTGAGCTCTTTAGAAAAGGTGGCTGTTTCCCTGCAGTTTTTAGCCCTTTCTTGCCATTAACAGGTTGCACATTTGAAAGTTTTGTGTTAGAAAGGGCCTTAGAGGTGGATCATTTAGCCCAGGAATTCTTAACCTGTCTTGTGAGATAGACTCCTCAGGTAATCTGGTGAAGCCTATGGTCCTCTTCTTAGAATAATGTTTCTAAATGTATAAAATAAAATACAGGATTACATAAATGTATAAAAAAAAAGGATTACAAAAAAAACCCCAAGAATTATATGGGAAAATAAAGATGTCACTTTTTCCATCCAAATTCACAGGCTCCCTGAAATCTGTCTGTGAACCCCAGGTTAAGATCACCTAATCTAGTCCAGTGCTCTTATAAATGAGGAAACTGGTGTCCAAAGAGAGAAAGAGACTTGCCCCAGGTCACATAGCCAGTAAGGGGCATTCTTTCCAGGGGAGCTCTCACTGTTTTTCAATTTGAGCCCATAGCTTTCTTCCTTTCTCACTCTTAAGGTAGGGAGAAGTACCCACATTCAGATCAGGTCAGAAGTCAGTGATAGTAAAAAGAAACAATGCAGGGACTGAATTCCAAGACTAGACAAAAGTTATACGAGTTGCCACCACAAGTCATATCCCACTCAGGTCAGTTACAGTCACTTGGGCAGTATTACACAGGGTGTTCCAAAAGCCTTAGGGGAGTTCTAAACTGTTCAAGCTTAAAACTGCACTAAGACTTTTGGGACACCCTGAATGTGTTCTCTAAAATGCTGCTACCATCCAATCAAGCCCAGTCTAGAAGAATACCAGATGGTGATGGGGGAGTGAAAATGGGGAAGATTTGGGAAATAAGAATCTGCACCTGGGGTTGTTCCCACAGAGGGTAGTGGAAAGGCAGCTAGATGTAAGGGTCAGAGGACCTGGGTTCAAATCTCAGCTCTTCTACTTAATACCTAGGTGATCTTAAACAAGTTATTTAACCTCTCTTGCCTTTAATTTCTTTCTCTAAAAAAAAGGGGGGGGGTTGCATTTAGTGCAACCCCAGGCAGAGAGCTCTGAGATCAGACACAATTGTAAATCTATGAGTGATTTAACCTTTGCTAGGCTATCTCTTTTTTATTGATATTTTCCTGGAATCTGGGGGCAGGCAGGTTCATGAACCTTTTATTTTATAGGTCTGTGTGTAGGAATGAGAAGTAGATAGCATGGTATAGTGGATAGAGCACTGGACATGAAGTCAAGAAGTTCAGAGTTCAAATCCTGCCTCTGACATTTTGCCTGTTGTGTGACCACGAATAAGTCACCAAATGTCTCGAAGCTAAAAAGCTAAGTCACAGACAGGTCAAAATCACACATGGGCAAAATCACGACTCCTGACATATTAACGATATTGTACTTTAAGGATCTGAGATTACATCAATATGGGTGTCTACTCTGCCAGCATAAATTACAATCCCTCCCTTCCCTTGGAAATAGTCTTCATGAGGTACTGTGGCCAAAAATCATCCCCTTGTGGCCAACCTGGTCATAAGACTCTTCCAAATTAAGTCCTTAGACAATGGGTACATAGTCCATCACTGGGTGTGGACTCAAGTCTTCCCAGTAAAAAGGGAACTTAATGGACAGTGTGAAGGGATCCAGTTGACTCAAATGGTTACAAAGCTCTGGGAAAACAAAAAATCCTAGAAAGTAGTTATTTGATTGCTAGGTAGAGCATTCATATAGCACCTGAAAGTTTGCAAAATATGTTATTGATATCACATCAACCCTGGGAGGTAGGTGCTATTATTATCCCTATTTCACAGACAAGGAAACTGAAGGAAACAACAATTAAGTGATCTGCTCAAGGTCATACAGCTAGTTTGAGGCCACTTGGGTCTTCCTACTTTATGTCCAGCATTCTATCCACCGGACTACCTACTAATAACATATTTATATGGCATCTTATGCTTACAAAATATTTTCTTAAATAGCCCTGTAAGACAGGAAGTGCAAGTATTATTATTCCCATTTTGCATGTGAGGAAACTGAGGCACAAAGGTTCAGAGAATCTAAGTGACTTGTCCAAGATCACATAGCCAGTGAAAAAGAGGCAAGAAGAGACTGGAAAGAGAAAGTAAAGATAATAATTCTAATTCCAGCCCTGTGTCACTTTGAACATGTCACTGCATCTTGTGCATCTCTAAAACGAGAGGGCTTGACTTGGTGGTCCCTCAATTCCCTTACAGAACTAAGATTCTATGATGATGATGTTGATAATCATCTAGGTGGTGGTAGCTGTGACCTTGAGACTGGTCATTGTTATCAGGCTGACTTACCTGAGAAAAACTGGCTAATGGAGTGAGGCAGGAGTGTGAGGAAGGCCAAAGGGTGGGCAAAGGAGATGGAGAGTACTGCAGAGATATAGGCCACTCCAGCCACCATGGAGTAGAGACAAGCCAAAGATGTATAGAGGCAAAACATGATGAAGTTTCGCATGTTTCTGCTCCCAATGCAGTTTCCTGTGAAGAAACAGTGATGGTCGTGTCTCAGGGTCACCCTAGCACAGAGCCTGCAAAAGTGGGTGCTCTGCGAGGAGGATGAGGCATTTCTGCCTGCCTCTGGCCACTCAGAAGCAGTGCCCACTCCTTTAGCCCCTGCATTCTTTCGGGTGCCCAGATCTTCAGGTGAGTTCTGAATCACCAAGATGTAGTTGCCCAGAGCATTGGCAGAAAGGAAGAGGAAGAGAGCCCCATGTAGCAGAGCCGGAGAGAAGAGAGGGGTGATTGTGGGGTCCTTGAACATGTTGGGGAGGAAGAGGAAGAGCTGCAGGACGAAGGTCACCAGGGAGATGCACAAGAAGTAGACTGGGGCTACCACATTGAGCAACCTGAGAATGAGCATCCTAGATTACATTCCTGCAGAGTAGAGGGAGAGGAGAGAGATGTCACTGCCATAAAGGGAGACAGGGAGACAGACTGGCTTCTCCCGAAAGAGAAACACCTTCCACCTTCCCTCTCTTCCTCACTTCCACCCCACACGTACCCCCCCCCAACACACACACACACACACACTTTGACTTTGCATCTTTACATCTCCTTTCCCCACTCCCGGCCTGGCCAATAAGCCCCCAAACACCCTACCTAGGATCTTCCCTTCCACACCACACGGCTCTTTACCACTGCCCTCCCTCCTCAGTAAGTGACCTGGACTCCTTGATCTTCGAAATCTTCCTCAGCTCCTCGCCTGGCTGGGAGACAGAAGCAGTCTGGGAACCTAGTCCCTGGTCTTTCCTGTGGCCAGCTGCCTCTCTACCTTCCTGGATACCAGTGCCCCCCCCCTTTCCCACACATACTGATGCCCGTGTCATACACAGGCAGCTGGATGTCTACACGTGGGGGGTTGGGGGGCGGGGCGGAGAAAGAGAGAGGCGAATGAGGGGTGGGTTTAGAGAGCTGGAGACACAGGGCTGGCTTTCTAATCCTCCTCAACAGAAATCCAAACCAGGTCTCCTGTTTTTATCTCTGCAAGTCATGGATCTGAAACTGACCTCCACCACTGCCCCAGGAGCAGTATTCAGGAGGAGCGGGCGGTGGCAGGCAGGGAGAGCAGGGATTGTAAAGGGGGGAGGGAGGGGAACAAGAAAACGTACCAATTCCCCGCCTGAAAGTCCTGCTTCAAAGCTCCCCTATAGGCAGTGCGCTGGGACTTCCCGGGCAGTCACAGAGCTCTTTGGAGGGTGTGTGTGTGTGTGTGTGTGTGTGTGTGTGTGTGTGTGTGTGTGTGTGTATACACCCATCCGCAGCCGCTTGGGGAAAAATCAATTAAAATCAATTTACATACACAAATAAACACACAAGCACACGTACCGAAAGAGAAGGAAACCCTCTCCAGAATATCTCTAGCGACAGGTCTCAGTCAGATCCGTCACCCTCAAGCTGCTGTATATGGCTTTTTCTTTGCTAAAATGCATTTCTGTGTCAGGCGAGGAAATTAAAATGCCCCTTTGGCTCCCGCCCGCTTTCCCCTCACCCCGCTTCAAGAACTCAAACAATCAACACCAAGCAGCTAACCCTTTCGCTGCCAGTGGGCTCGGTGCTGCGCGCTGCTGGCGGATTCTCTTCCGCACAATTGGCAACAGAGAGATGCTCGAGTGTCCTCTGCTCTCTTCGACTATTCCGCCGAACTTCAGAAAAAGGAGATAAAAGACCCTAGGTGTCTATGGAAACTTTTCTTGGGGCTAAAGAGGCCAGGCCTTCCTAGAACACCAAGGAAAAGTTCTGGGTCCGAGCGCCAGGGGTTAGCCCCCTTCTCTGGGAAGGGATAATGGGTGCAATCACCTTGAAGTCCCCTTGTTCCACAGGAGCCTTTGGGGTGGCTATTGTTGATTGTGGCCGCTGCCTGTTCCCTGTATTGGGTGCCTTTCATAGCTAGCTGGGCTCATGCCTCGGAAGCTCGGGGACCTCTCTCTCGAACTCCGCCTCAGCCTAAGAGCACTCAGGCGCCCTGAGCCCGGGGTTGGGAGGAATCTAAGGGGGTTCGGGCATGAGCAGCCGAGGAAGGAAGCTGCCGCGTCTTCTCAATATAACATAGGGGAAGAGGTAGAGATGCGTGTGTGTGGAGGGGAGGGGAGCCCCCTCCAGGGCACAGGCATAGCTCCCCACCCTAGAGGAGCCCTCTGGCTCAAGCTCAGGGGAAGAAAACTGTCTTTCCCGCGCCTGTCGCAAGGGGGGCTCGGGAGCCGCCTCCGGACTAGCCGACGGACTCGGTGGGGGACTAAGCGGCAGGGGTTGGGCGAGACAGAGAGGGGACTGAAAGAAGCCTTTCCCGACCCTCAAACCGAGGCTGGAGCCTAGTGGGACATCGGTACAGCCCCGCCCTATAGTCTGGGGGCTCGTGGGAGCTTAGTGGAGCTGTCCTTTCAGCACCCTCTGTTCTAAGGAATCCCCTGCCCCTCACTGCACCCGGCAGAGCGAGAGGGCAACAAGCCGAGCTTTAGGCTAGAGGGAAGCAACGGGAGGGAGCGCCTGGCAAGGGAGCCTTGGGTTGCTACGTGCTGGCTGGGCGGCCCGCAGTATACACTTCCACCACCTCCTGGGGTGCTAGGAGACTGCCTCTCCCGCCTCCATTGCCGCAGGAGGCTGAGAAAATGGACTCACTGAACCTTTGCCGGCGACAAGAGGAGTGAAGCGACTCAAGCTGGAAGAGGAGCCCTTTTGACTCGGGCACTCCTGGAAAGGCTGCAAACTTGTGGCCTTTTTCTTTTTTGTTTTTTTCTCTCTCTCCCCCTCCTCCTTTGCTCTCAGCCTCCTCGCGGTTCGGGGATTGGACAGGTAGTGGCTGGGGGTGTTGGAGAGGAGAGAACTGGAGGCTGCTGTCCTCCCACTCGGGCGCCAGAGAGTGGGTGCTAGGAGGCGACTGTGATGGTAGCTAGGGTCCTTGGCTATCTCCGCCCCCACAGTACCCTCAAAGGAGGCGTGCCCCCGCCACCCCACTCACTACTGTGGAGTTAGAGACCCTTTTTCGGGCCCACAGAGTAGCCTTGGAGAGGCGCCTCTAGGGAGCTACGTAGCTTTAGTCGTCCAATTCAGTCTCACTAGGAAGCTTTTGCCTGAGGTTTGAATTAAACCTTGATGGGGTTGCTCTAAACAACTCCTTTCTGCCCTCTCACCACCCCAGGAGTAATCTCTCCATTTCCATAGTTGCCCAGAGAGATGGCCCAGAACTCAATATTCAGCTTTCCTCTTTCCCAGCATTGCCAAGGGGCCCCAAGGCTACATCCTGCATTGGGAGGAGGGAGAGACAGAAAAGCTTCTCTGCATGTACTGGGAGTTCTGGGCTTCACCCCTCACTGTTATCTTCCCTTCCTATCTCCCTCCCTTCCCCCTTTTGTGATTCAGCCAGTCTGAAGGGGGGTAGTAGACAGCAACAAGAGGGAACTGATGTCAGGTCTGTGTGGGATAGAGGCAAATTTGGATCCAAAAATGAGGGAGGTGTCTTGGTGGCAGTATTTAGGACTGTCTGTACACCATTTGCCTCCAGTTGGCTGGACTTTCTCAGGCTTAATTACTCTCCTTTAAGTGAAGACCAAAAATAAAAGAAAACAAAGCAAAAACAGCAACAACAACAAAAAAAAACTAGCTTACTGCTTTCTTGGGTTGACTAATTAAAAGGAGAGCAATCCCTTAAAGCTAATGCCATATGCTTATCAGTTCAACCTCTATTTTTAAACCATCAAACAGTGTTTTCTCCATATTTTAGCAGCTTACATCAAATTAATGAAAGGGAATGGGGGATTGAGAAACCTTTTCATGCCCTGAAAAGGTCTTAGATAGAAACAAATGAATAATATGAAAGGTATTGTTAATCTCTCTGATCCAGAGAGCACCATAGGCTAGTATGGCAATGAAGGTTACAGCAGGAGAATGAATGGCTTTTCCCATTAAAAAAAAAAAAGGCACTTTGGTGGCAAGATGATGGCAATTTGGGCCTTTTGCGGGTGCTCTTTCTGGCTCTTATGTTCTTGATGTTGCTGCTGGCTGCATCTGTAGCCATAGTTGCTTTACACGTGCAGTTTTAGTGGAAAGTCTCCAATCTTTAAATACCTTAAGAGTTAGCCAGCTTTTCTAATTTTATTTTGTGTATGGGTGTATAGTGGGAAGATGTGTGTATGTGGGGTGGTAGACAAAGAGAGGTCTGTATCTATGTGAGAAAGTATGTCTGAGTGTGCAGTAGAGTGTGTACAGCATGGAAGATGTGTGAGGCCAGAGAGAAGAGGAGGTCTGACCTCTCCTTTGAAAACTGAAATAGTAAAAACAAGTCATTTCCTCCTTAAAATCATTTAATATCAGAAAAACAGCAAAGTTCTTGATCTAGAGTCAGAAATTTTCTTCGCTACCTCTTCTCTGCTGCTACTTCCTTGTCCTCCCCTCCCCCCTACTTTAAAATACATCTTACGGAGGGCAACATGACCAAATGTGGTTTCCTCCAAAACTTGTGTTTATCCATCGGCAAAATCAATGCAGAGTTTAGTTTTCAAAGCTCGCTTAGATTCTCCTCTCCAGGTGGACAGGATTGTGGGATTTTGTTGCAAATGTTCACCTCTGTTTAGTACAAAGGAAACTGGTGTTATGCTCCCTGACACAGTTCTATTTAAGGCCCCACAAAAATACCCATCAAAAGAGAGCATGTTAAAGATAGCATGTTTTACTAATGATCCAAATAACTTCACATCAGTGAACTCAGGTATGCTCACGGAAACTGTCTAAGGTCACTTAGGTCCATTAAATAAATGTGAAACAGAGCCACAATGAAATTACAGTGACCAAAGAGTTCACAGCTGGTAGAAAGTTCACCAACAGACTCTCAGAAAGGTGTGCCAGGAAAATGGAGCAAGTAGCAAATGTGTCACGAGAAGCTGTAGATAGTAAGTAAAGGATTTGCCCCAAATGCCTGAAATGATTCCATCTGTGGACAAGTGTTGGGCCTCTTTTGCTCCTGTTAACCTGCACTCCCTTCAGTCTGATAGATATGTGTGTCCATGATCTGTCTTTGACCCCCATTGCTCATTCCTTGGTATTTTAGATTTTTTTTCACCTGACATTGGTGTTACTCTTACTTGGGAGACAATGTGATATTGTAGAGAGTGTGCTAAATTTAGAAGCCAGGCTCCAATTTCAGCCCTGCCACTTATTGCTTGTTTGTCCTTGGGTAAGATGCTGGACCTCTTTGGGCTTCAGTTCCTTCATCTGTAAAATGAGGGCACTGGATTAGGTGACCGCTAAGGTTACTTACAACTCTGAATCTATGTTCTTGATTCCATAACTAGGCACTATCCTTCCAAAGACAGAGGCTATTTTATTTATCTTTGTGTCCCTTCTTACCCCAATGCTTAGCTTTGTGCTTCACACAATGTAGATATTCAATGACCATTTCATTATGGAATTGGTTCTGGAACTGGAAAAAACCTAAGAGGCCATATTGTTCAGTCCCCTCATTTTACAGATGAGAACACTGGGTCCCAGAAAGGTTGTGTCCTACTCAAAGTCGTATAGCCAGTAAGTGGCAGTTGGTTGATAAATTAATTGGCTTGAGTTTTGCTGTATGAGTATAGAAGCTTTATTTTTATGCCCTTTAAGCTAATCAGCCCCTAAATCTTGTCTCCAGTGATTTTCCCATCCACCCACCTCAGCCTCATTGTGGAAAGTCTAAAGATGGTCTATTTCTCTATAACCCTACATTCTAGGCCCTCAAGCTTCAGTGCTAAAAGATTTTTTTAGGAGGATAATTACAAAACCACAATGCAATTTTACAATATTACGATCAAGATACATCTCTACCTCCTGATTGTCTCAAGGGGTAAAAGCACAGATAGCAGCTTATTGCCTACATGGCACATTATCCAAGGTATGTGGCATAATTCCTGCTATTTGCCTGTCATATGAACAAAATAATTTCCCCTCAAAGTAGAAATCATCCCATTTTCCTCAAATTCCTACATTTAAAAAAAAGGAGAAACTCTATAGAGAGTGGCTTCTCCCTCATGTTTGAAACCCACACACATATGTCTGTCTAGTCTTGGTTTTCAAAAAGTTATTTGGATATTTAAAATCCTCAGATACAAGCAGCATAATTCTAACCTATTGTAGTGGTAATTTTTTATTCTGAATTCACCATTTTTTTATTAAATATAGTGAAGACATGCTGAGAGGTAAAGTTTCTCTCTGCACAGGACCTAATGGCATCTTCCCATAAATAACTGTAATTTCGATGTAATTCTCATCACCAAGACCAGATTTTGAACACCCATAGAGAAATCCAAACTCCTCAGAATTAATTGAAAGACATAATAATGTCTTTCCAGACTCATTAGGGTTAGGCTAGGATGGGATCTGACCTAAACTAGGGATAGAATGCTCACAGCTTGCTAGCTGAGACATTTTGAGTCATCACTTGTCTGAGAAGCCTTCTTCCCACCACTACACACACACACACACACACACACACACACACACACACACACACACACACTTAGGGAGAAGTTATGTTGATTAGTTGGGAGTTTGGAGCTCTGTGGGTGTCTGGTTGGTCACATAGAACCAGAGATTCATTCCTGGAGAATGAGATGCTGAGTAAGGGGCCAGAGGCAAGAAGTAGATTTCTAGAACTGAAGTTTGAGAGTTTGGTTGGGTTTTTTTTGTTTTGTTTTGGTGGGGGGGTTTTTTGTTGTTGTTTTTGTTTTTTGGCTAGGCAATGGGGTTAAGTGATTTGCCCAGGATCACACAGCTGGTGTTATGTATCTGAGGCTGGATTTGAACTCAGGTCCTCCTGAATCCAGAGCCAGAGCTCTATTCACTGTGCCACCTAGCTGCCCTGAAGTTTGAGAGTTTGAAGGGCAACAGCAATATCTTTGTAAACCTCAAAGGATTATGAACATGTGTTGTTATTGTTATTAGTCTGTTCCAGTTATTTTATCGGTGAAGGGAATTCCCACTGTGGAGAAACTTCCTCTACAATACAGATTCATAACTGTCCTACAACTTAGAAAAAAATCGCCTGGGGCATTGAGAATTTAAGTGACTTGACCAGGGCCATGCAGTCACTAGGTATCAGAGGTGAAACTTGAATGTGGATCTTCCTAACTCCCAGAGCTTGAGGGTCAAGCAAAT